CGGAGCTCTTCGCCGGCTGCGCACCCCGCACCCACTCTTCCGCAGTCGACACCATAAAAAAGAAAAGAAAAAAAAACTTAATCCTTTAAGGCCCAGAACCAGCCGTCCTCGCGCCCAGCCTCCTGGGCCCCGGGAGGCCTGCCCTAAAGAGTAGCTTCCAGAACCGGAAACAGGCCGCGACCCAGAGGCCCGCGATTGATCTGGCGCCCGGACCCCCGCTGCGCACACCCGTCGGCCTCCGCGTGCGGCGGACCGCGGCCACCATGGTGCAGCCGCAGACCTCCAAGGCCGAAAGCCCGGCCTCGGCCGCCGCTTCTGCCAACGCCCAGATGGACGACGTGATCGACACGCTGACCTCGCTGCGCCTCACCAACTCCGCGCTGCGCCGCGAGGCCTCCACACTGCGTGCAGAGAAGGCCAACCTCACCAACATGCTGGAGAGCGTGATGGCCGAGCTGACCCTGCTGCGCACCCGCGCGCGCATCCCCGGGGCGCTGCAGATCACGCCGCCCATCTCTGCCATCACCTCCAACGGGACGCGCCCCATGACCACGCCGCCCACCTCGCTGCCCGAACCCTTCTCCGGAGACCCGGGCCAGCTGGCGGGGTTCCTGATGCAGATGGACAGGTTCATGATCTTCCAGGCTTCCCGTTTCCCAGGTGAGGCCGAGCGAGTGGCCTTCCTTGTGTCCCGCCTAACCGGGGAGGCCGAGAAGTGGGCCATCCCACACATGCAGCCCGACAGCCCCTTGCGAAACGACTATCAGGGCTTCCTGGCCGAGTTGCGAAGAACCTACAAGTCCCCGCTGAGGCACGCACGGCGCGCCCAGATCAGGAAGACTTCTGCCTCCAACAGGGCAGTGCGGGAGCGGCAGATGCTGTGCCGCCAGCTGGCCGCGGCGGGCACTGGGCCCTGCCCGGTGCATCCAGCCTCCAACGGGACCAGTCCAGCTCCGGCTCTGCCCGCTCGGGCACGGAACCTTTAGGAGGCCGCCACCACCCTGGTAGCATCTGCAACCATCCGGGTAGCATAAGCTCTGCTGTGGAGAAGAAATGTCCAAGCAACAGCATCGCCCCTTCAAAACCGACCCTTCCTTGGCCTCCTGTTCCTTAGGTCTTCCTCCCACCTTGCTTGGGCGCCCTAGTCACCTGCCTTGCTGTGCTTCCTGTTGTCACGTGCTAGCTCTGTACCTGCAACTCAGTGCATGCTCCCCCCTCCTTGCAACCTCAGCTTCTCCAGAGATGGCAACTCTGCTGCTCCAGGCCCACTGACCCCACAGCACACCCTGGGACCATTTGGACTGCCACCCTCGACTCCCAGCCCGGACACTCCTGCCTCACCTTCTGCAAGACCCTGGGCAGCTCCCTGCCTGTTTTCCCTGCTCTGGATGGAAAGAACGGACTTGGCCAGGCTGGTGGCTTGATGTGTGTACCTGGAGAGGGGACCTGGGTATCTCCCTTGGTTGGTCACCAGCACTGCCAGGGCCTAGGGTAGTGGGCAGGGGCTCACCCCTGCCATCAGTGGCCAAGTGCTGTTCTAGCATTGCCAGGGCAAGCTTCGCTTTGTACCACCATGCAGTCCAGCTGACTGCAGCAGGGAAAGGGATGATATCTTCCGGATGCATCTCCATTCATCCCCAGCTGCAGCTGCCGGGGTTCTGGGGGCCCAGGAAATGGGAGAGTCACACTCCTCTGCTGCAGAAGGCCCTTGTGGACAGGGATCCTGGGCAGTTCCATCAGGTTTTCATGGGCAGAGGATTCGTGCACACCCATTTCCAAGAGCCTTGGCAGGCTGAGAGGTGGACACAGTGGTTCTGTTGCTGCCCTGGGTCTCCGATAGGGAGCTCACGAGCTGCTGGTGTTTGGTTTTCTGCCATGTCTCTTTGTGTCTTGACTTGAGGCCCATTCCCTTTTCATTCAGGGGCCATGTGGCCTTCACCTCACCTTTCAGCCACCCACATCATCTCCAGGTCTCCAAAGATGCCATGTGACATGCCCTCCCTGTACCCAGGCCGTTAGGTCTCATTTGTGTCCAAGAACAAATAAGAGTTTAACAATGGAGACAGCTCCTCTGGAAAATACCTGAAACACTGAAGGCTGTGTCTGGGTGACATTTGTAAAGGCGAAGAATTGTGGACTGCTTAGTCCTAATGTGGTGAGATTGCAGGCCATGTGTCCTAATTCTGAGGGACACAGCTGTATCTCAAGGCGTATGGCCATGGCTTCCTTGCAGAGAGACAACCAAGAAACCCCATTCTGCCCCAGACTTGGCCAAGCCCTTTGAACTGTGGCACTCCAGCCATACTTCATTGTCACATGAACAGCACCGACTTGGCCACCTGGACCTGAGAGGAGCCGGGGTTCATCTGCCCCTGACAGAGCGGTTCTGCTTTGGCTGCAGAAGGGCTACCTATGCACCTCCGCAAAGCCGCCTGTGTCTTGGGATCCCATGATTGGGTCCTGGGACCCATCCTCTCCTTCAGAGAGTTTGATGCTGTTGGGAAAGTGACTGTGATTCTAAAGCAACTGTGACCCTCCCAGGTCCTGTGGTTGCTGGGTCCACAGACACGGCCTTCCGCTCATCGTAAACTCGGTTAGCCCAGTTGCCCTGCCGACCAGCTGCCTGGACACAGGCTTTGGGTTCTCCTGGACTCCACCAAGGTCCTTCCAGTCGGACCGTGGTGCTCATGAATTGGGAGTGGATGGAGGTGGCCCAGTGGGGCTGCCACTCGAGGTGGAGGTGCTGATGGGTGGAGTGCTGGTCACTTCCTCCTGTGCCCAGCGCCCCTCTGTCCCAGCACTGTCTTGGCAGGGCTTGTACCTGCTAGAGGAGGTGTCTCCAGGTGAAGGGACAGTGGCACTGCAGAGTGCAGAGGAGTGGGGACACAGGAGTGCAGAGGCACTCCGGGGAAGAGCCCTGGAGGGTTCCATGTGGCCTGGGCCTGCATGGAAGGGCACATCTGCCATCTTCCCGATCCTGGGCCTGTGAGTGCTTCTGTGCCCGTGCCAGCGCTGTGTCTGAGAGTTGGGCCGCTGTACACCCTGGGGCCAGAGCCACACAGGCAGGGCTGGCCACCCTCCTGTCCATGTCCGCTGCTGGCCCTTTGCCTCTGGTGGCTGTGCCTAGTCCAGGCTGCTGCTGTTCCAGCTGCATCTGGTTTGGTGGCTTGTGTGTTTTGTCCCCTGATGCTTCTGTTGGTGGGCCTGGGAGGCAAGCTGTCATTCAAGTGCCACCTTCTCGATAGCTCCCCAGAACTCTGGACCTGGAGCAGATGAGAGAGGGCCAGAAAGCCTGTGCTGGAGGTGCTGAGGGGCCGTCACGCCTCCGGGAGAGGACGAGAGCCAAGGCCCGTGCAGCCCGGGAGGGAGACCTCGGTGATGAAGGGACCAAGCCGAAGACTGAGGTGGGAAGGGAGCTGCTGTGTACATATTGGGGGTTATAGTTTCTCCAGCTTCCGGAGGACAGGTAGTGACTTCAAAAAGGCAGTGTGGAGTTTGCATGTGAAGAGTTTCTGTGTCTCTTGGTGTCATGGTCGTTGGGATGACGTAACTGCTCTCTGGTCCACGTGGTACCCGTCTGGTAAGTAAGCTTTGTTGCATTCCAGGTACGTCTGGCGATGGCATTTGGTAGGGCTGACCCCCTGGCCTAGTGTGTAGCATGACCTTGGGACTAACTTCCTGTCCTAAAGCATTTAGGTGACTTCTAAGAACCAGCAGAGACCCATTTCAGTAACCCCAGGTAAGTAGATGAGAGGTATGGAAAGAACCGCGCTGTGGTGAGGCAGGACCATCCTGACCCACTCGAGCCTGCTGTCATGGAGCGAAGCTGCCCCACCGCTGGGCAAGCCCACAAGGAAGTTCCCTTGCAGGGGCACGAATGAACGGATGTGGGCATGGGGGCAAGTAGGGCTGGGCAGAAGGACAGACTGGGGGCAAAGGGAAGAGATCCTTGCAGAGGCCTCTGTCTTGCGGTGTGAGCAGTCAGACTTGGTCCCCTGCTTGGGACATGTCACTGAGGGGCTTTGAGAGGAAGGCCCAGAATGGTTGGATCAAGGGGCAAAGCTCCCCTGTGTCAGGGGTGATAGGGACAGGGTGTCCCATGGTCACAGAGTGGCGAGGACCTCGAGTCTCAGGGCCTTGTCTCTTGGGGACTTCATGTTAGGTTTGGTGGCGGTTGGCCCGGGTGAGAGAGAGAGAAAACCCAGCTCTTCGCATGTACCCTCTAAGAAACCCACCGGGTCTTTGCGTTGTCCAGGTAAACCTGCCCATGGTGGGAAATCAAGAAGAGGAAAGAGCAGAGTAAGAACGAGCGCTTTGGTGTCTCCCCTTCCAGCTCTGCCCCACAGTCCCTCTGCCTTTTGTGTAGTTAGGACATGTAGGCCGCCCATGATGACGCCCTTTGCGCCGCTGTCTTCGCTGAGCTTGTCGCAGCTTCCCGGTATCGGGACTGAGCTTGTTTTGCAGTGGCTGCAAACTTCCATCAAGCAAAGGGACAGTGGTGTCGAGTATTGGTCAGTGCTCTTGCTAATTTTTCACTGTTCCCAATCGATGAATAGCTCTGCATAAGGTTCCTCCCCCAGTGTCAAGTTATTTCCTGGGATAGATTCCCAGAGGGAGCATTCTTAAAGACTATGAAGACCTTTCATGTTTTTATTATCTAGTGACGAAATAATTTCCAACAGTATCCATTTACATTGCTACTAGCAAGGGGAAGTGTGCCCAGCTTGCCAGTATTGGGTGTTATTGGGCTAGATATTTGATAACTTGATAACAAGAACAAAGGCACTGTGTTTTAGTTCGTGTTTTCTTGATTTCTAGCTCAGTTGGGTATCTTCTCACATTCAGTGGTTGTATTTTCTCTTTTGTGGATTGTCATTGTCCTTTGCTCTATCTCCTGAGGTCTGATAAATTTGTATGAGCTCATTCTATATTAAAGATACTAACCTGGTGTGCGTCGTGTTTCCAGGTTTTTCCTGTGTGCGCATGTGGCACGCGTGTGTGTGGTGCGTGGGAATGGGCTGAAGTTTTGGCCCAGAGCTGATCAGTCTTTCCCAGGCACGCCCAGTCGACTGCAGCACAAAACAGGCAGGTGTTGCTTCCTAGCTTTGTGGTCAGCCCCTGTACACAGTGCCTGGCCCATAGTGGAAGGCCCGGGGTCCTGGGCTCCCACTGTAGCGCTTAGGCCCAAGAGCCCTTCTCACAACTTCTCATCTCGGGACCCCTCTGTTGCCCTTAGGGCTACTGAGGACCCCAGAGGGCTTTTGCACATACGGGTCACATCTGTCAGTACTAATCAGATTGCAAATGAAAACAACACTTTAGAATGTGGTTTAAAAATATAAGGTGACACTTAGGACTTATCAACATAAATAACTATTTTAATGAAAACTCCAAAATTAAGAAGAGTGGCATTGTTTTGTTTTTTGCAAGTTTCTTTACTGTCTGTCTGGCTCATCGACAGCTGAAGTCATAGGCGTGCTTCTGTACTTGATCCTTTTTTATTTATTGATTAATCTCTTAGTACCAGGGATTGAATCCAGGGACTTTGCACTGAGCTTCGTCCTCAACCCACTCCCCATTTTAGAGACAGGATCTCACTAAGTCATTAAGTTGTCCAGGCTGGGCTTGAACTTGGGATCCTCCTGCCTCAGCCTCCCAGAGTGCTGTGATTCTAAGTGTGCACCACCATGCCTGGCTTACACTTGATCTTTCACAATATTGTCATGAAACCTCTGACAACTTCCACTCTAGACTTGGAGAAGCTGCGAAGACTCAGATATTTTAGTGTTAGGAAAACAGTGTTACCTCATGGGCCCCTGCAGGCTCTGCCCCTGTTGTCGGAGGAGCGGAATGTGGGGGGAGCTCGAGCTTCCCACCTGACCCTTATGGTTTAAACTTGAGGTCTTCACCCCTTAATAAACATCATTTTGGGATTTTCTTGGTGTGTGGTGCAAGATTTGTCACTGAAGGGCGTTTCAAAGATTTAAACACCCTGACGTCCTGTGCCGGCCCCTCCCCTTGATGAGTGCTATTCTCCGTCATGGGCCATGTCCACCTCCTGGGCCCAGCTTGTTTTTGCCCAGCACCCCGCTGTGAGAGGGGCTTTGGGTTTTATCATTTGTATTCAGGTCTAGCAGGTTTCTCCACCCCCACATTTTCTTAGCTTTTCTCACCAGATGATTCGAACTATTCTAAGGTTTTTCCAAAAATCCCAGTAACAAGTGTGGAGCCTGGAAAGGCGGAATTGCTTCAGGGAGTGGTGTGGGGGGTAGAGCTGTAGGGCAGCTCTCTGAGGAGCCTCCTCCTCCAGTCAGCAGAAGGACCTGCCCTGAGACGTCCACTGTGTGGGTTCTGTGACAGTGGCCCCTGCGTAGGGGTAAGAACCCACGTCCCAGCCGGCTAGCCTGGTGTCGGTCGCATCTGCTCTGTGGTGAGTGTGTGTGGAGCCCTGCTGTGGTCCCCACACAGTTAAAAGGACCCTGCTGGACCAAGATGGAGGCCGAGAGCTGCAGGCCCCGCCCCTCCCACCACGTGGCAGGCACTGGAGACTGGGATGAGGTGTGTCTGGGTCTCTGCCCTCAGTCACCACGTGACTTACCTCCCTGTGGGCTCACACGTGCCTGGGCTCAGTCCTCGTGGAACCCTGTCGTGGGGCCCTGTGGGCTCCCTCTGGGTCCATCTCCATCCATGCCACCCATGCTACCCATGCTGGGAATCCGAGCATCACTTTTTCCTGGTCTCCATCCCACAGCTGCCCAGCACCAGGGCCACCGGGCTGGCCCTCTGCCCTCTCCTCCCAGGCCAGCCTTACTGCCGCCTCCTGGCTCTCCCGTTAAGGTGCAGATCCAACGTGCTCCTCTTAACAAGCCTCCTCGAATGGCTGATCTGCTCAGGGGTCCCCCATCCAGGCGCATGCCTAGTAAAATTTGTCACCTGTCCTTCTGTCTCCCCCACCTGACTGCTCTTCAAGGGCAGAGCTGTCTCTGCCAAGTGTGTCCCTAGCACCTCACCCAGTGCAGTGGCTGCCACCTGGACCGCCCCATCACAGCACCTGCCGAGGAAAACAGCTCCCGTGAGCCCCAAACCCAATCTGTCCTAGTTCCTTTTTTGCAGAGGGGTCACCTGCACACTCCCGTTATGGAGGCTCGCGAGTGGGTAACGTTCCAAGTGGGCCTTTGCCACCCTCCACTCAAATGGTCCCGTTCCCTTGGGAATTTCTCCCGGTCACTTTTGTTGGCACAACTGGTGCTGCCCAGGGAAGGTGGAGGTTGGGCTCTATGTGACATCACACACATGCAGTAGCTTAAATGCGTCTCGGTTGACCCCACGGCCATCAGCCCTCCCCAGTTGGTGGTGACCCCTGCATTCGGAAAGCAGTCCTTTGGTTCCCCAAGTGGGCCACCTGTCGTGTATATTCGATACTAATGTACAGTTTTCAGTGTTGCCATCCATGACTGGATGTGTCCCCCCCCCCCTGTTCATACGTTGAAA